ACCCGGGACCTTTCAGTCCCCAAGCCGACGCTCTATCCATTGAGCCAAACAGGTCTTGGCTGATCTTTTTTTTTTTTAACACCCACAGCGAAGGACGTTAACTCCATTACTAGTATGAGCTTATGATTTCTTGGCTTCCACAGATTAATTTACTAACTGAATTCTCTATTGATTTTTACATATAACAATATGGTGATTCTTTTAAAGTAAAAGGTGTACTAAACAAAGATGAGAAAAGTTAAAATAATTTTTGGTGAGATTAATAACATTGTTGATTAGTTGCTGAGAAATGGTTACACGTGTTATTGTGAGTACAGTTAATACTGCTCATATTATTCAGCCAGAGAAATAATATCTAATTACCAAGAGGTTATATAAAGTAACAAAAATAGAGTGAATGATATACTAAGGGATAGAGAAGTTAGTTTTGATTTACAGGAAGGAATACTTGATACTGATCTTTTATAACACCATGAGTTTTATTACAGAATATGTTAGCAATTCCTATTAACATTTATATATGATCCTAACTTAAAAATGTTTTGAAATGGAGAAAGCTTTTATAAATTCATATGAATGTGGTGTATTGGGGGTTTTAACATATTATCAAGAGAGAGAAGTAAATTGACATAATTTTTATACATACTAAATAAGTTTTGTCTCTCCACTTGAGAGCTTCAAGATAATACAATGATTAATATGCACATTAGGTCCAACTCTACTTACTATCAATTATCTGTATTGTTTAAGAAAAATTGAAAGGCGTTTAATAGATTTTGTTTCAAATGGCAAATTTTTCTAATGTGATAATTCAGACTTCAGATGGATAAACTGATTTTTTAAAAAAAGTATCTGTTGCACAAGATTTTAGAATTTCACGGAAGTAGAGCATCTTGCAAGCTAGCACACTCTTTGAAAGAGGCTAAATATTAATAAGTCTCAGTCATAGCCAATGCCATTCCTCTGTTGAGCTAATTGAATATTAAGGCTTTATTTCCTTTTGAAAATGAGTTACAATTTTAATGCAATAAAAGGTCATCAGGAAACTTTATTTCAGTATGGCTTTGTTGTAACTATCTATAGAACATTAGAACAGTTAATAATGCCTCTTTGTATCTAATTATAAACTCTGGGAATAGCACCTGCATTTCTATTATGCATTTAATAAGTATTGATTGAACATCTGGTATGTGAAAGAGTCTTTTACCAAGACAGGTAAGCCTCTCCATTTATTATGATGCCTACATTCTAGTTGGAAGGGAAGAAACAGAATAAACATGCAAACAAATAATACAATATGAGAAAGTAATAAGTGCTGTGAAAAAAGAATGAGATAGTGGGATAAGAAGTGACAGGGGGCCCTAACCTGTTTGGCTCAGTGGATAGAGCATCGGCCTGCACACTCAAGGGTCCCAGGTTTGATTCCGGTCAAGGGCATGTATCTTGGTTGCGGGCACATCCCCAGTGGGAGGTGTGCAGGAAGCAGCTGATTGATGTTTCTCATCGGTGTTTCTAGCTCTCTATCCCTCTCCCTTCCTCTCTGTAAAAACAATAAAATATATTTTTTAAAAAGTGACGGGCAGATTTAATGGTCAAGGAAGGCTGTTGTGAGGAAGTAATTCCGCTGAGATGAGGCCAATTGAAGATCTGGTGAAAGCTCGTCTTCATGAACAAACAGCACATGCAAAAACCCTGTTGCAAGAACAGGTTTAAGATATCCAAAGGAGCATGGTAGATAAAAGGTGGAGGGAGACAGTGGTGTGGCACCAAGTCAGAGTAGAAGGCACAGGTCATTTCTAGCTACTGACTTTTAAGAACAGCTTTGTTGCGGTTTGACATACAGTAAACTGGGCTGCTATAATAAAGGAGATTGTTTCTTCATTTCTGTTTCTGATAGTTCAGGGTTGGAGTATAGAAACGCCATAGATTTTTGTATATTAATTTTATATCCTGCAACTTCAACTGAATTCATTTATTCTAATGGTATTTTGGTTGAAAAAGGTAGGTTTACAGTTGTGAGTCCATAAAACTCAGTTTATTCTTATACTACTATTACATATCATTACCATTTGAACGACTGTAAAACTACTTCTGCCAACCCCTGTATAGATAGTATCATGTAATCTGCAAACTGATAATTTTACTTCTTCCTTTCCAATTTATTATGGTGCCTACATTCTAGTTGGAAGGGAAGAAACAGAATAAACATGTTGGCCTTTTATTAATAAACATGGATGCCTTTTAATTCTATTCCTGCCTAATTTCTTTGGCTCGGTCTTTTAATACTATGTTGAATAAAAGTAGCCATATTGGGAATCCTTATCTTGTCTCTAATCTTGGAAGATTTTCACCATTGAGTATGATGTTAGCTGTGGGTTGTCATAGATGGCCATTATTGTGTTGTGAAGTATTTCCTCTACATATACTTGGTTGAGAGTTTTAGGCAAACAGTGCATAAAGAATATAATAATATTGTTGTATTAATATTTCTGTAAATATTCTTCAGCTTTGTTCTCTGAGTCCGTTCTGTTGTTTGCAAATAATTAATCCTTTGGGTCTTGCTTTAAAGATTTGTTACAGGGTCGGAGCAGCATTTAGTCTAGGGCTAATTTTTCTGCACAACTGAAGCAAAATCCTTCTAAGTGTAATGCCTAATTTCCCACGAATTAGGACATTTTCCACTGCTGTCAGTTGGACCAAGCACCATGCCTATTTCTGTGTGAGTCCCAAGCCCGCTCTTACCAATCCTCCCAGATATTTCTTTTCCCAGCCTCATCCAGCGTCTTCACATGCATGAGTTTACCAGGTTTAGCTGAATAGTCAAAGAGATTATCTGCAGATCTCCAGAATGCTCTCTCTGCATTTCTCTCCTCCGTCATATGTTTCCCTGTCAACCCCAAGTGCCTTGGACTCCATGGCCTCCCAAGTCCATCTCCTCAGTTTGGGGGACACTTCCTGCCTCTGCCTTTGATCCCCATCCCTGCACGAGAAAAGTCCTTCCAGCAGGAAGCTGTAGTTCCTTTGTTTGTTTCCTGTCTCTTTGGGGTTACTTTCCTATATTGCCTAATCTTTCATGTGTGTTTGGAACCGTTGTTTCGTGTATTTGTCCTGTTGATAGTTATTTGAGATGGGAGAGTAAATGCAGTCTGGAAATGAAAGCTCAATCAGCCTGGGTTCTTTTAGCAGTTTGAGATCATATATATTAGGGCCCCTTTGAAAATAAAATGATTACCCAAATGCATGATATTTTTATAATTCTTCTAGTAGTAGGCCAAGAGTAGGTCAGCTACCTATTATGTGTATATATATTTCCCAGGGATATATGCATAAATCTGCAAGGAACTGAGCACATGTATCAGCATTCTATACAACAGAGGCACTACCTCCATTAGAATCCAGCATCTGACATTCCCACAGTTTCTGTACTTTTATCCTCTTGGTGAAATCACATGAGACAGGTTACGTCTGGCATCCTCATTTTCACTTTCCTCTTTTTACTTTCCCAAGATGTGGGACCCCTGACATGGCTATTGCTGGCGTATCTCCCAGACTCTGCCCTAACAGCTCCTTCCCCCTCCAGGTAGCCTTGCCTATACCAGGCCTCATTTTTTTCATTAACTTTCATTAATAATATAGATGAGGACAAGTGACGACTTACAGGGTTATCAATAATCTATAATAACATCTATGATTTATTGATCATCTGCCATGTACTAGATGTTCTTTATATTTTCTCTAATTCTATCAAACAACTGAGGGATTCAGAGAAGGTTTGGCGAAAGGGTGCCTTCTCAGTTGGGTCCTGAAGGATGAGTAGGAGTGAGGGGAGATGAGGCATGGAGTGGGGGTCAGGCAGATGTCGCAGAGGGAAGAGTGTCTAACTAAATTGAGGAACTCGGTTCAGTTCGGCTGAAGAACACGTGGTCCGTCCTGGAAAATGTTCCATGTGTACTTGGGAAGGATGTATATTTCCTCTGAAGACATCAACTAAATTAATCAGATCTAGTGTGTCTTTTAAGGCTGTTGATTTTCTGTTTGTAAGAGCTATCCATTGGTGTCAATGGGATGTTAAAATTCCCAACTCTGTCTGTGTTACTCTCCCTTTATGTCCATCAAGATTTGCTTTATATATTTAGGTGCTTACATGTTGAGTGCAGAAATGTTTACAAGGATTGTATCTTCTTGGATGGATCCCTTCATCATTATACTAGCGGCCCAGTGCATGAAATTTTGTGCACTGGGCGGGGGGGAGGTGGTCTCTCAGTCTGCATGAGCCCTCTTGCAGTCTGGGACTCCTGGTTCCTTACCACCTGCCTGCAGCGGAGGCAGGAGAGGCTCCCACCACCGCTGCTGCACTCGCCAGCCATTAGCCTGGCTTCTGGCTGAGCGGCAAGCCCCCTGCGATGAGTGTATGCCCCCTGGTGGTCAGTGCACACCATAGCAACTGGTCATTCCACCCTTCAGTCTTTTTGCATGTTAGGATTTTATTACGTAGGATTATGTCCTTTGTTTCTTATAAGTGTTTGTTTTAAAGTCTATTTTGTCTAAGTATGCTACCCCAGATCTTTTTTCTTAACATTTGCATGAAATATCTCTTTCCATCTTTTTACTTTCAGTTCGTGTCACACGTAAACTTATTGTTGTTTTTTTTTACTCAAAAACATGAGTACCAATTGTCCCGGATGTCTATAAAAAGTTGTCTTTGCTTTGTAGATTAGCAGTAATTTTATTTACATCTAAATGAGCCCTTATTAAAATTTGGGGCACTCAAGCCCTAAATAAATTTTCATCCCCATATCTTACTTAGACAATGTTAAGGTTTTTTTCCTCCTTCTGTGTGCATCCTTTGTGATATTAGTAAATATTAATAAAGGATGTATTTTAAAGGGTAATTTTATTTTGAAATAGGAGAAAGGAAAACTTATGCTGCAATAATGTCAGCGTCCAGAGGAAGCTCTGCTTATCTAAACACATTTTATTTGGGGTTCAGTATGAATTTTCAATAGATGTCTTTCAGATAACGGAGCAGTAATTCAAACGCAATTATATAAACAAGAAGATCAGAGAGGAATTATCCCAAAGGGTATAAAATGAACCAAGAGGTTTTGGTCTGAGTCACTACAGCATCAGCTCACCCATGCAAAGTAAGGTAGGTGTCTACACGGAAAAGGCTTTGCAAAATGAAATGTTCTCTTTCCACTTCACCATTTTAGCACTTATTAAAAAATGGCAAATGTTTAGTGAGACTTTGGATTGGCTCTGAGAATTTTAATGATTGCTCCAAAATAGTTGAATGTCGAGTGAAGTTGAGGGAACTACATATATAAAGATGTGGAAAGAATTCTGTTAACTAGAAGAGGTTAATTCCCTGATTGATGTTTATGGCTTTCTCTTCCTATTTACATTTCAATTGAAATAATTTTGTCAATTGAACAATATGTTATTAAATTATGTCAACTACTAATGGTTATCTTTGATGATATACTTCTGGGAAAAATTTTGAGTATCTGTAGCTGTAATTTACTGTGTCTTATTTCAGTTATTTAATAGCTACCCCTCTTTGGATGGTGTCCTGTGCATATAGTACATTTTACTCTCTAAAATAATGTGTTGCTTTAGTAAAGTTCCTGGATTATTTATAGGGTGGGCAGTTGATTCTTTTCATAATGTAGTAAGGGATTTGGAGATAAAAAAAAATTGGTGGAGGAATTGGCAGAGCAGAGGGAGGTGCTTATTGAGAATGAAGGTGGTTAGAGAGAAAAAAAAGGAAAGAAAAAGTGGAATAAGGGGCAAAAAAAGAAAAATAGCTTAGAATAAGAAAAACATTGGAAGTGTAGACATATATGGGTATCCCCCTGAAAAAAGCATCTCTTATTAGTTAGGGCCTAAAATCATGCCGTATGTAAATAATTTGTGATAATGTTAAAAGAGTCAATTAAGTTGCCAGGATAAGAATCTGGTGATAAAAGAGAAATTGTGGCAGATCATAGTGATATATATGTATAGTTATATATATTTACAATATATAATCTTCTGTAGCATTCTAAGTTCATCATATGTATTGTTCTATTTTTTAAAATGAATTTAGGATAGAGCATATGGAAAAATGAGGGGCACAAAGTTATTAAGTTGCTCAGTGACACACATTACAATGAAATTTGGAAGCAGAATTCTAGGTCACTAACTCTCAGACCAGAAGTCTGACACTAATTTATCACACAGAATCACAGACTCTTTGTACTGAAAGAACTTCCTGATCATCATCTGGTTCTAAGCTTTGCTTTTCTAGATAAAAAAAGTGAGGCTTAGGAAGATTTTTTAAGTAGAGTTTTATTATTTGCAGTTAAGGAGAAAGGATAATTTTTACTTTCTTTACATCCTCAAAATTATATACCTACTTTGCTGATAATTCAGTGCTTTGAAAATTTCCTTTTGTTCGTTTAGAGTTTTATATTCAAAAAAAGAACTTTGAAAACATGTTCAGTGTCCATAATGAATATTTTTTCCATCTTTTTACTTCCAGTGCAATGGGTAAAAATCCAAAATAGTTTTGTTTTTTCTACAATTTTAAAAAAGGTCAGGTGTACTCCCCCCTCACCCCCCCATTTTGCAGTTGGGAAATAAGACCCAGACCGATGAAATATTTTAGTCAATTTCTCATGGATTCCTGAAGTTCTTAAAATACAATTGTATTCCTTAATCCAGGACCAATATTCTCACCATTAGGCTGCCACACATCTATTTTACATACATAGCATCATAGAGCTAAAGGTTAAAACGTGAAGTTAATGGTTTCCTATGGCAAAAGCCCAGTAGCTGGCTGGCTAGTCAGGCAAGAACCACATGCTCAGGACTGGTGAGCATTTCATGTAACGCACTCAGTTGATATTTTTAAGATTGTGCAGAGGATCCTCCAAGTCTGTGGCTCTCAATTCTACATCCAAGGAGCTCACATTTGTGAAACGTGAGAAAACCAGGTTCCATGAGCAATGAGTTCTTATGTTTTCTGTCCCAAACTGAAATGCCAACAAACCTCCAAGGAAAGCCTGAATAGGTAGCATTTTACTTAAAAGAGTTCCCTAGAAAACCCTTCTTACTGGGTTAGTTTACTTCCTTGTCTATAACACTTGGGGGTTTCAGAGTCATAATTTGGACTCTTTCAGAGCACTTAGAACAATATGTATTTTTATTATTAGTGTCTGTTCATACTTCTCTCATCCATTATTAGACTGTCAGCCCTGAGGTCAAGGACCACAGATAGCTTAAGCATTTTGTATCTCTCAGTGCCTGGCTCCCATGCTCAATATATGCTTATCTAATTTATCTGCAATTCTCATTCTGGCAGTGTTTATCTCTGGTGGCCCGTTGAATTGGGTTTTAGTTTCTCTTAAAAAGTTAATTAGGAGAATCCAAGATGGCTGCTCGGGTAGGCAACTAGCCGCAGCCGCGCACAACAATTTCAACAAAATACAACTAAAATATAAAACGGACATCGCCCAGAACTACAGGAAAGTCGACTGACTGGAAATTCTACAACAAGAAGCAAGGAGGAAACCAGAAGGAGCGCGGAGGAGCTGTAAAAGCCCAAGGTACGGAGACGCGGCGCGCGGAGAGGACGGAGCCGGAGAGGAAGGGCGGGGAGGCCGAGTGCCTGGCGGGCGTTCCCTAGTGGAAAGGAGATAAACACTCCGACTGTGCTGGGCCCCCAACTGCTCTGAACCCCTGTTCTAGGCCAGACCCCGGGGACCCAGGCTCATCCATAGGGAGCCGGGCTGTAAGGCGGGACTCCGGGGAAGCGGCCTCCGGGGAAGCGGCCTCCGGGGAAGCGGCCTCCGGGAAAGCGGCCTCCGGGGAAGCGGCCTCCGGGGAAACGGCCTCCGGGGAAGCGGCCTCCGGGGAAGCGGACTTGGGGAAACGGCCTCTGGGGAAGCGGCCTCCGGGGAAGCGGCCTCCGGGGAAGCGGACTCGGGGAAGCGGCCTCCGGGGAAGCGGCCTCCGGGGAAGCGGCCTCCGGGGAAGCGGCCTCCGGGGAAGCGGCCTCCGGGGAAGCGGACTCGGGGAAACGGCCTCCGGGGAAGCGGCCTCCGGGGAAGCGGACTCGGGGAAACGGCCTCCGGGGAAGCGGCCTCCGGGGAAGCGGCCTCCAGGGAAGCGGCCTCCGGGGAAGCGGCCTCCGGGGAAGCGGCCTCCGGGGAAGCGGACTCGGGGAAACGGCCTCCGGGGGAAAGCGGGACTCGGGAAGAAAGCGGCCCCGGGGACGCTGCCTCCGGGGAGGGGAAGCGGCGAAAGGAGGTCCCAGGAGGCGCGCCTCCTGCGAGAGAGGACGGGGCCTGCCGGCTGTTTGCCGCGGGTTTGCCCTGGCGGGAAGGAGACTGGGGCTCCAGACTGCTCTGAACGCCACCTCCAATCCCACTACCAACTGAACTGAACCCCAATACCGGGCTCATTGGGGGAGACCATAGACAGTTTGGCAGCAGGCGAAAATCGAGGGCACCTTTCTCTCAGAGGCGCCCGCAGCAAGTACTGAAGGACCCTGAGTCTCAGGAGTCGCATAGGGCGGGGCTGACGGAAGCCAAGGCTGTATGTAGGCTCCACCCTGAAACCCCGCCCCATCAGGAAAGCTGCCTGCGAAAATGCCTAAACCAAATAGATCACAAACGAAAGAAATGGAGGACAAAAAGCGACTGGATATAGAGTTCAAAACCACACTTATAAGGTTGTTCAAGAATCTCCTAGAAAAGGCCGATAAAATAAACAAGACCTATGAGGATATGAAAAGGGATCAACTAGAAATAATAAGGGATCAACAAGAAATAAAGAATACATTGTCTGAAATAAAAAATATTTTATGGAGTCCTAAAAACAGAATGGAAGATCGCAAGAATCAAGTCAAAGATTTGGAACATAAAGAGCCAGAAGACACTCCTCCGCAGACGCAAGAAGGCCAGAGAATCCAGAAAGTTGAAGATAATGTAAGAAACCTCTGGGACAACTTCAAGCGAACCAACATCAGAATTATGGGGGTACCAGAAGATGAGAGAGAGCAAGATATCGAAAACATACTGAAAGAAATAGTGACAGAAAACTTTCCCCACCTGGTGAAAGAATTAGACTTACAAGTCCAGGAAGCGCACAGAACTCCAAACAAAAGGAATCCAAAGAGGACCACACCAAGACAAATCATAATTAAGATTCCAAGAGCAAAAGACAAAGAGAGAATATTAAAAGAAGCAAGAGCAAAGAAGGTAGTTACCTATAAAGGAGCACCTATACAATTGTCAGCTGATTTCTCAACAGAAACCATGCAGGTCAGACGGGAACGGCAAGAAATATTCAAGGTGATGAATAGCAAGAACCTACAGCCAAAGATAATCTATCCAGCAAAGCTATCACTCAGATTCGAAGGTCAGATAAAGAGCTTCACTAATAAAAAAAAGCTAAAGGAGTTCATCACCACCAAACCAGAATTATATGAATTGCTGAAGGGGGTTCTTTCAGAAGAGAAAGTAAATAAAGATAAAAATTATGAACAACAAATACGTAACTATCAACAAGTGAATCTAAAAACCAAGGAAACTAAAAAAAAAAAAAAATCTGAGGAACAATATTAACTGTTGAATATAATAGAATCAGAGGTATGGAAGGGGAGTGAACTGTTTATTCTTGGGGAAAAGGGGAGAGGGGGATGTGGGAAGAGACTGAACATAAACTGTGCACCTATGGATGAGGACAATGGGGGGTGGGGAAAGAGCAGAGGGTGGGGTGAGAAGGGGGGGGAAAGGAACATTTGTAATAATATGAACAATAAAAATTTATTTAAAAAAAGTTAATTAAAGATGAATTCTGGTTAACTGTGGCTGAGTCTCTGAAATTTCAGTTGATGGATATCTTAGTATCATATATGCAGCTGGTAGATAGTATTGGGATATAATGAATAGATATGAGAAAATCTTGATACACTTCTTATAGAATAAAAATGTTTAGTGAATTATACCCTATGTAATAGAAAAAGCAAACAAGTTTGTGTTCAAAGGTAACTACTTCGTTAAGATGAATATTTTCTTTTCTCACAGTGATACTTAAGAAGGAAAAAAAATGCCAATATACCTAGCTAACTGTACCATGTTTGTGAGGTAAAACAATCTTCTTAATCTTTGAAGTGACCACTTTACATTTAAAAGTCTGGATCACCTGCTCTCAGCGGCAGAGCTAAAATAATTATGTAAACATGATCCCGCTCATTATGATGCCGGTGGATACTGAACAGATTCTTTCAGGGGACAGGCTCTCTTGAGATACTTGTTCTTCTGACTGAGGCACATGGACCCTCTGGTATCTTCTGTGCAGCCAAACATATTTTAGTCTCCTGCCAAGCCCACAATGTATCTGCTATCTTTGATGGTATTATTCTCACTGTGTCAACCTATAATTTTTGCATCTGAAACATTTTTTCAAAATATATTTTTCTTGATTTTTAGAGAAAGGGGAAGGGAGAGAGATAGAGAGAAACACCAGTGTGAAAATGAAACATCAATCGGCTGCCTCCTGCATGTCTCCTACTGAGGACTGAGCCCACAGCCTGGGCATGAGGCCTGACCGGCAAGCAAACCGGCAACCTTTCGGTGTATAGGATGATGCTCCAACCAACTGAGCCATCGGCCAGGGCTGCGTCTGAAATCTTTTTAAGATAATGAATTTCATGCATCTTCTGAGTAACATAATTTTTTATATGTCCAAGTCTACTTCTTTCAGCACTAGAGGAATATCCTAAGGATGGAATAAGAGAGTATCTAGATTTCTGGGTTAGCTCCTAATTTTATGTTAATGTTTTCTGGACTTTCTGTAGCTTCATCTTGTCTTTCTTGAAAGGCAATGGGTAAAATATTATGCGAGATTATTTGTATTGAGATGGTACTAATGTTTGATTATACATTTTCTTGGTTTCTTTGCCCTTTCTGATTATGACCCATTTGTTGGCTTTTTAACCAAAGTGTTTTTTTGTTTGTTTGTTTGTTTTTTGTTTTGTTTTTTAACTAGAGTTCTGGAAAGCACTTACTGAAGCCTAGCTGTTCATTCTTCTTCTAGTCAGAGAGGCAGGTATTAGGGTTGCTGTCACTGAATGGATTGTGTACACTGAGCTGGCACATGTGTCTGTCACTTTCCTGGTGCTTAAGGCTTGCCAATCCGCTGTGGGGCATGTGGATCAGAGCTACATTTCAGTGTATAAAGAAAAATTACTGAGAGTATTAACTATGTAAAAGCACCTAATATAGATCCTAGGACAATATAGGCATAGTATTAAAATATACGTATTTTTGGCTCTTTCCAAATGTCTCTTCTGAATATCCTAAAGGATACATCTAATAGATCCTTTAATTTTATCTTCAATTTAGCATGACTGCTATCTTCCTGATATCCATGCTTTTCGGCCTTGTGTGTGGGCAAGCAATGTCTTTTTGTATTCCAACTGAGTATATGATGCACGTTGACAGGAAAGAGTGTGATTATTGCCTAACCATCAACACCACCATCTGTGCCGGATATTGTATGACACGGGTATGTAGTTCATCTTCCTTCTTTTATCTGTACATTAGTAAACCTAGACTTCGTCCATCTCTGTGCAGAAAGGGACCGAGATAAATCACAACCTCATTTTCCAAATCTAATGGTAACCGGCTCCTTAGAACAGAGGGCACAGGTTACTATAGTATATGCTTCTACTCAGCACAGTGGGCATAGATAATTTTAGAACAGCTTCCTTCCAAACTTTGGTTAAGCCTTATCTCGTTTCCATGGTCAAGGATAAAAGGGTGTGTGCCCCATTTGTCTCTGGGATTCAGTTCGGATGTGTTGAGTGGGTATTAGAGAACGGGACTAGGAATCCTCCCCCCGTCCTATTAGTGACAAAAATAATGTGAGTGAGTTAATTTTTGTTTGTTGCCATTTACTATATGCATCTTAAAGTACTATTACACTATGCTCCTCTTTCTGTTCTCTCCTCAGGATATCAATGGCAAGCAGTTTCTTCCCAAATATGCTCTGTCCCAGGATGTGTGTATATACAGAGACTTCATCTACAAGACCGTAGAGATCCCCGGATGCCCACGCCATGTTAGTCCTTACTTCTCCTTCCCCATAGCTGTGAGCTGTAAGTGTGGCAAGTGCAATACTGACTATAGTGACTGTGTACATGAGATCGGCAAGACAAACTACTGTACCAAGCCTCAGCAGTCCAATGTGCTGGGACTTTCTATCTGACTTCAATAGTCTGTAACTTGAAGTGCAGTTAACTGTGTTTGCCTGGAATAAAGCTAATAACATATCAATATACTTCACAATACATTGTGTATATGTTGAGTGCTGGTTCGTCCATACCTGTACCTATGCATGCATGAGAGACCCAAGGGGCGCTGGAGGAAAAGGTGACTGAAGGATGATTGCCACATGGAGGGGTGACGTGCAGGGTAAATGGAGAACAAGGACATGAAACACTAGTGAAAGCCAATGTTTGACCAGCTCTGTGAGCAGAGGGCCATGGATTCTGACTTGACAGAAAATGAATGTGGGAAGGCTGCGGTTATCAGGGATGGGTAATGTGATCGGAAGCCGAAGGGACACTTGGCTTTAGGGTGCAGGTAGGTTTGAACATTAGATTCTTTACCCATTAATTAAATATCTGTGTTTGATATACAGTTATCAGAGGGGATGTTATAATCCTGCAGCTTTAAGTGTCCATGCTATCAAGTGACATGAGAACCCAAAGCCCCAGATTAATATTTGGAGACTGTGCTACTATCAACTTCCAGAGGACTGGAATGGAGGTGGAATAGGTGAAAGCTGCAATATGGTACTTTATCCTACTCATTCAAATGCACAGGATCAAAAGTCACCAAAACTCATTAGCAGTGCATTCTATTTGAAGAACTGTTCTCTTTAATTTGATTTGATTTTGTGCTCGCTTCGGCAGCACATATACTAATTTGATTTGATTTCTCTGTGGGCTGACTGACTTATGAAAGTTATACCCAGAACACCTGGAAAAGAGGCCACGATCATTTTACATGTGAACTTCTAAATCCTCTGTAGTCTTTCAAGTAACAAGAGACAGTTTCTAACATTTATACCAAAAGCACCTTGTACTGTTTTGGCTTTTGATGTCATGAAAACCTAATATGGTTATGAAAGATTTTAGGGACAGGGGAAAAGAGCTAAGGGATTTTAATAGAGTAGAATCTTCCTAAATTCTAACCTACATATTGATCAATATTGAAACACTGTTTTCTGGCCAATGTGCTTGGTAAGGGCTGTTTATTTTTTCTCTTCCTTCCGTAGGTACTATTTTGTGAGGGTTTGGTTTTAATTAGATGCGTAAAGTGAGGCAGGTCTAGTGCCCTGCAGACTTGACCTCAAAGAGATGATTTATCCCGGACCTGCCCATTTTTCTCCATCCAAACTGTTGCTACCATCAGGGTGAAAATCATCTGTGAGCAGGGACAATTGGCTTTGCTATACTCCACAGTTTCTGGTTGTGTTTGGCCGGGTATCTTGTAAATACCTACATGCTGACAGTGCCCTTGGGGGTGATGTGGGGGTGTAGGTGGATTAGTGTCAAGCCCACGCTCTTCCAATGGAGGAGAGACTGGTTGTACACTTACATACAAAGTCAGGAATTTATGAATTATTTTTACCTTCATATTTGAAGTTGATATCAACATGGTCTCCAAATACGAATTCAGAGCTTTGGGTTCTTGTGTCACTTGATCACATAGACACTTCAAGCTGCAGGATTATATAATATTCCTTCTGGAAACTGTCTATCAAATACAGATATTTGATTAATGAGTAAAACAACCTAATGTTCAAACCCACTGGCACTAATCACATATGATTTTCATGGAATCTGAAAAACATGTTCCAAGAACTAAACTTTGGAAAGAATGGGACGTTTAGGAAGGCCACTTGTAAATAGTCCAACTCAGAAAACTCTACTTCAGTGGGCTTCCTCCATCCAAAGGGAGGAGGCCAGACAGCATAGCAGGTGCGCTGGACCACAGAACTCGAGGCACATCAGAGACACCTTATTCCCTTCCATGGAAGGCACAGTCCACTTGTGATAGATGCACATACACATTACATTAAACTATACTTGTAAGTGGAGTTGTCCAAGATAAAGAATCCTTAGGAGAGAGCTCAGGAATTGGAATGACCAACAATTTGCTTCAACTGGATCCAGAATCTTGGACATAGGGAAATTCTATTTTGGAGGGTATTCTTTGGGTATAAGAGACAGGAAGAAGAGAGAGCTACGATATGGGAAAGGGAAAGACCATTGCTTGTGTAATGAGAGGAAGATGGAAACTTTGGAATATCTTCTGAACTGGTCTTTAAATTCAACCAAAAGTTTAAGAGAGTCCATTCTTGGCAGAGGAAGTTTGAGATCAGAGCTTTAAAATCCCTCTTGTTCCTCATTGGACTGTGAAATATAAAGGGTTCTTTCACAGCTAAATGGATTTGGGATGAATGCAGCCATCTGCCTTTCTAATGGCCAAGCTCTTAAGGAGTAAGAGAATGGACCTGGATGGATATATTGACAGGTAACAGCATAAGCTTCTTGATCACAAGAAATTCAAGTAATAAAAATTCTCTCTTACATAGAAATTGCTTCTCTTTTTTGTTTTGGGCAGCAAGTCTAAGTGCAATAACATTTCTTGTATTGAAGTAGCTTCTTCTCTAGCCCTATTGTGCAATGTTGGTTCTTACCTACTTTTATCCAGTTAATTAGTATTTATCTTTGAAAACAACCCTGTGTCACATCTTCTGCTACTTTCCTCCCTCCTGACATGTTTGCCTTCCTAACATCCCTGTCTCTTCTTTGAGTTCTTCAGGACTCAGTTTAGAGATCTCAAAGTTTAGGAAACTTCTCTCCCATGACCATCCTCCCCAAGGTTGAGTGGGTTGACTTTGGGTTAATGATCATCATAGCACTTACCTTATGCGAAGAAAACTTGCCAGCTCTTCCCCACACTAAACTTCTTCTTAAAAAAAAAAAATATCTATCTATCTATCTATCTATCTATCTATCTATATATATATATATATTGTTTTTTTTAATTGATTTTTTACAGAGAGGAAGAGAGAGAAACATCGATGAGAATCATCGATCAGCTGCCTCTTGCACACCCCCCACTGGGGATGTGCCCGCAACCAAGGTACATGCCCTTGACCAGAATCGAACCTGGGACCTTTCAGTCTGCAGGCCGATGCTCTATCCACTGAGCCAAACTGTTCTCGGCCACACTAACCTTCTTGAGGGTAGAGATTGTCTTGTTAATCTCAGCATATCAGTATTGTTATAGTTTTTCCCAACTGTACAAAACAGTAGCCAAAAACAAGGGAAAAGAATTCTAACATCAGAGTGGGTTGTCTCCTAGAAGGCAGAGCAGGCCCAGGCTTGGGCTGGGGCTATTCATACCAAGCCTTTGAATTAAAATAGAATTGAGAAATATATTGAAAGCTATTCATTAATTAAGCAAATGAATATGTTCAAACAGGTATTTGTAGAAGTATCTTCAGTTACACATGATTATGTATGTTTGATTTATGTTTAACAAAACTCTACCTGACAACATAATTAAACCAATAAGTAATATTCATTAATTGCCAGGAATATGAAGCACTTTGTTGGCGACTTCTTTTAATTTAAATCTTTTATTTAATATAAATAAAGCCAACAGAAATGATATAGGAAAAAATTGCCAAAGCTTTGGAAGGGTTTCTGGCGCATTAGCTAAAAACATGAAATCAGCACTGATTTTGCTTTGCCACATTTTGTTTGGATTCTTGGAATGCATTTAGCCTTCATTGCTAGAATGAGGACAACAAAATGGTGCATTTTGCATTGGTGTAGTCTTCACCTCTGAAAGGACACCTACCTACAATACCTGCAGGGGTCCTCAAACTTTTTAAAGTGGGGGCCAGATCACGGTCCCTCAGAGAGCTGGAGGGCCGGACTATATGAACTACTAATTCCTACTGTAACACCTCGGCTGCGCTCACTGCCCAAAAAACCTGGCGGGCCGGATCAGACTCCTCTGCGGGCCGCATGTGGCCCGCGGGCCGTAGTTTGAAGACGCCTGCCTTACAGCTATATTTTTATAGGAAAAGATAGTGAGTCATGTTGAAAGAAAATAGAAAACCTTTGTCTTCCTTAAAATATACCTTAATACAAATTCGCTTTTGATGAGTCTGAACTAAGATGATGTCATTAATTGGCTAGCTTCAAGGGCCCATGAGTGCGTCCTCACAGGGATGGGGGAAATGGGGTTGCTGAAAATCAGGGGCTGGTGATCAAAGCAGATGCCAAGGGAGCAGTGAATCAGGAAAGTTGGGGTGTACCTCCTAAATTTCCAAGTGCTGTCCTCGGAGCCATGGAAACCACGTTTTACCCATGATACAGAGGGTGCCTCTTCTAATCGTTGATAAACCTACTTCAGAAGGGAACACATGCTGTCTCCTTCACTGCCACCTCCCCACCAGCCTCATTCCCACCCACAAACCTATTAGTGTTCTTCGTAGGGGAAAGGAGAGCAGCGACCATTGATGACTGCATGGGGACCACGTTGGACACTGCGTCAAGTGTGCAATTTTAGATTAAACCATGGACAGCAAAGGAGCTATTCCGGGGAAAAAGTATAAATTGGGTGAAACAATAGTAATTGAAATATAACTATATGCAACGGAAGTTCTTAGGGTGTTGCTTTTCCATCCAGCTCCCAACAGTTACCACTCTTGAGGGTTCCACTGTTTCCTTTGTCCACCATATTGTTTGGGTGGATGGGTAGTTGGGCCTCTGGATAGGTTGTGTGAAGGTGTGCGTAGAGATTTAATAGGATTTTAAGATAAACCGAACAGGCAATTCTAGTGCATAGAAAATTTAATTTGAAATAACTTAAAATATTTCAAGAGTTTTAATTCAGTGCTTTGGCACCAGACGCTTAAGAATATGTTTGGGCCTGACCTCAGATTAGTTCAGGTAGACAGACATAACCAAATGTTTATATATATGTGTGTGTGTGTGTCCATATATGTACACACATACACATATATATATATATATTCAAGAGATAAACATTAATCTATATATTCAAGAGATAAACATTAATCACATATGGCACATTAATCATATATGGCACATATCTCTACTCTTAACCGGTGTGGTCTTTTTGAAGGTTGGTTGTTCAGATAAACAATGGAACTCCCTTCGGTTGGCTCCAAGCTGAGTCTGAGCTGGAAGAAACCTGAGTGTACACTTGGGCCCGTTTCCTGTCTTCAAGCAGACAGAGGAACTGAAGCCACCGAGAGAGAGGGACGGACTGTCTGTTCTCCGCTGAAAAGGTGGTATTTCTCAACGACTGGGGCATACACTGCTATTTCACAAATTGATTTTCTTAAATAATATTTCTGTTGGCGATAGAAACAGTCAAGCAGCTATGCGAAATCCAATTTTTAGCTCGCTTCCAATTTTTTTTTTCTGGAAAAGCCTAGTAGCAGTGGTAAGTATGGCAGAGGGGGCATGTGGTTCTCCATGGGAGTGAGACCATTTCAGATGAGTAAGCCTCCTCATGCAAACGGTTTGTCAAACTTTCCTGGAAGAGCACACCCGAAGCCTGTGTTCTCACACGTGCACACCCTTAACCTGGGCATTTCCAAAGTCCCCAGCACTTTCACTTTTGGGTGGCTTTAAAAAAATGCAACAATTAAAAAAATCCTCTAGGATTTATTTGCTAAATGTACCGAGTTGTTAAAAATGAACAAATTTATCGATTTATTTCCTAAATTTGGGTTTATGTTCTTACAAGGATGCATCAAAACCATAGAAGAACATGCCGGTTTTATTTTTATGAGGGATGCGCATTGACTAACCCGATCTCTGCTGAGTGTGGAAGCGTTTCTGTTCGCTTAGGCTGTCTCTGTTGTGTGCACACAACCGGGAGACCGTGCTTGTCTTTGTTTGTGTTGGGCTGGCCAAGGACACTCATGATATGATATTTGACTTAGACTTCTGTTTTATTCATTTTCAAGGGTGAAAACTGTCGTTCTCAATCTATGAAGAATTCTCTAGATGAATAAATAAGAAAATATGTAAACTCAAGTGATGAGGTATTTTAAAGATACAGTGCCAGTAAAAATTCTCTTTCCCACAATGTCCCACTGCCAGGTCTCTTACTCGAGTCTTCCTGGCCTGCATCTGGAGACACACAAGCTGGAGAGAAAAGCCTTTCTGCGGATGTGAGTGAGGGCTGCAGTAGTTCAAAGCAGCGTCAGAGAAAAAGGAATAAAGCAATATCTAAACATCTTTATAGGAAGACAAAAATATTTTCTTAAAAAGTAGTTAAAAGTTTTTCTTTTTTAGTCCTATAAAACACTTGCTTTTATAGGACACATGATTGTCTGTGTGACCACTCTTTCCAGAGGGAGGTTTTTAAATACTAGGAAAGTATGACTTATTCAAATTAGATTTTCCATGCTATATTTAGTTTTACAGATGTGTTTAGTTCTAAAACTGTGGTTCACTGTATTCAGGAGAGAGTATGTGTATAAAAAAAGCCCAGGAACCCTTCCACTCTCCTCAGACATAGTCAATGTTAGCTCTGCACTGTGATCTCTCCCTTCCCAAGCTTATTGCTTCTGTTACCTAGAAATCCCTGGTTCTCTGTCCTAACTTTCTGTGGCTGGACTCTGAGAAACCGATCCGTTATTATTCTTTTATGCATAGCCAGGTGTGTTTGTTTTTAAGTTTCTCAAAACTTTTGACCTTTTTCTGAGAGTTAAACAGGTTGTTCCTTTCACCCTATAACAAGAATCAAGAATCCCCAGCAAACCGACTTCATTCTATATAATGCTTATACCGGAAGCACATAGGTCACACACGAACATGCTCTCAGTCAACATACACAGGCATTCACTCGAGGGGTAAATCAGTACAAGCCAAGCATACATACATGTGCAAATGTACAATCAACAGCAAATTATTTTAGATCCTAATGTCCTTTGAATATTAAAAACGAGACAGCTCCCGTGACATTTATAGGAAAGCTCTCGATGGAAATGTTCACGTAGAAGCAGCTTCATATAACATCTCGTGAGTTCCGTATCGCGCAGCAAAGGACCATGCTGAATATCATGCCGAAGATCTGAAACAGAAGGAAGCACTTATTAATGACTTTCAAATGATAAACATTGATGCCAAGGTCAGCAAACTGTGCGTCCAACTCAAGTTAACATGATATAACCAATAGTTACTGGTTATCAATGGTATTTACTTAATTATGACGACTAGTTAAAAACATCCATATGAACTGTACTTAAAATGCATTCCTATTGTATTACTGTTAAAAATGTAGCAAGACTGCTTTAAGAAAAGGGCTCTGGCCTCTAGGACAGTTTTTAATTATAAAAGACAAACAATACACTACAGGTTTGGGAATTTTATATTTCATATTTACTTTGAAAGGTGTTTATAATCACTAGATGTGTAAGTATGGTTGTGGTCTAAATAGTTTCCTATTGTTGGAAATGCTTCACATTTTTGCCCCCGTGACAGCATATTAAAAAGTAGACCTTCTCTTCATTTCCGGTTCATTTTTAAGTATAAATGATCCTTCACTATTTAACCCAATAGTTTTGCCAAAGCATAAACCAAGGTGTTTGACCTATGGCATCACTGGTGTCTTCTACATTTTGGCTACTTCTCGGAGAAGCCAATGGCTTGGCAAGACCAGTCGCCACGTATGCAGTTTGAATAGAAGGATGACAAAACATCCCCTTGTTCTCCATCATTTTCCCTACAATTCTGCAGAGTCTGAGGAATGCGCTCCGTGGGTACCATGTTTATAAACTACTGCCAGTGGTTGTTTTTTTTTGTTTTTGTTTTTTTTTTAAGAAACCAGTACTACAACTCTCTGGTTCTCTCCTCCATCCTGACCTTTATCAGACCAGCATCTGGAAATGCTTATCAGTTATCTCAGAGGAGCGGGGAGTAGACTCAGTGAGGGAATGGCCTTCACGCTCAGGCAGGGCTCCCAGCTCCTGGCTGACAGGAAGCGGTTCCAGTGTGGGGCAGGGAGACACCTAATGGGCATTCGGTTAACTGACTCCATGGTGCAACGCTTATCTTAGGAAGAAACAACTGGAGGAGACTCTCAGTGTATTGACTCAAGATGGCCAACAGAGGGCATCCCCCTGGACTATGGTTGAAAGGCTGGACACAAGCCCTACCTCACGTGGGCTGCACTCTAGAGAGGTGCCCCCGGAAAGACACTTCACCGGCCTCGTCTTGCCGCTGTCACGAGTCAGGGGTGACTCATACACGCTGATTCATTGAGATTGTAGAATTGAGAGGAGGGTCTATCTGATACTTCTATTGTACAGAATGTTTTCAAATATTCCACCTCGGAGTGGCAATCAGGCTAGCCTAGAGCCGGTGGGGGAGGCCGGAGAGGTGCTCCTGGACTGGTGGGTGCTCAGCACAGTACACTCACCCCCTGCCTGCTCCACATGCAGAGAAGAGGAGAGATGCCGTGTGTCCCCTGAGAACTGTCACTCACCGCTTTCTTTGCAATAGAGGGTTAGAGGGTGTGCTAACCCTAGCATTAGCTGTTAGCGTGACCCCGGACAATGGAAACCACCTCTTTCCTGGCCCCACCGGACGCCAGTCTTGCTTCCCTTCAACTTTACCATCACAGGTCATCCTGGCGGCGTCCCCCTTTCCACCCGCCCTCTGAAAAGAACTTCGGTTACGTAGACCTGAGACCCTCTCCTTATCATCTCTCGCTTGCTACTCAGACCACACCCTTCCGTCCCTCTCAGTCCTTGCACACTCTGCTTTTGTACGTTAGAAGGACCGAGCCACCTGCAGGTGCCCGGGGGCACTGCGCCCCACACTGGCACACAACGCTGTGCCCTTCGCCTGCCTTATGGGTTGGGAACACACAGGCTGTACAAAGAGCCAGCATTTAGTGAGTGCTGTGCTCCAGATATGGTACTAATTAATTTCTAATAATACTCAGTATGTGCTATCCCTCTAATTACAATCCTTCTTTTCGGGTGAGGGAACCGAGGCCTAGAGTAGGGGTGTCGAACTCAATCAGAGAAGGGGCCAAAATCTAAAATCCAGCCTAAATCGCGGGCCGAATGGTTTACTGAACAGTCATAAACTGTCATTGTGATGGAAACGCAGCGGAGTGCAGTGATGACAGCGCGGTGCGGGCCACATTACAAGGCCTGGCGGGACGGATTTGGCCCGCGGGCCTTGTGTTTGACACATGTGGCCTAGAGAAATGAAGGCACTTTCCCGTGATTCCCAAGGGCTTTTAGGTGGTGAATCTCGGAGCTGAAGCTGGACTGTGCGGGGCCGAAGCTCACACCCACCGTCAGTCACCCCTGTGCCGCCTCTGCCAGTCACAGGCGACGGGGGGCTGACCTGACGTTGCTGTAAATTTTTTAATTTAATATTTATTTTTTGTTAAGGTATTATATGTGTATTGTAGGAAAAGACCAGGAACTAAACATCACTTGTCTAACTTAGGCGCGGTGGCTTTAAAATGGGAAGTTATTACAGTGATAAACTCAAGGTCAACAGTAGGTTATGGTATTTGTATCATGTTTTAGAGAACTTAGTGTATTTAATTAGCTTTGTTCATAGATGTCCTGTCAACAGATGTCTTTGTGTTTCAGAGGACATCTCTCCTGAGACAC